TTGATGCCAGGTGTGGTGTGCACAGGTGTAATCCCAGCTATTCAGGAGGTGGGGGGATCACTTGACCCAGGAATATAAGACTAACCTGTCTCAAAACAAAACAAAACAAAAAACCCGAAAGCAAATTGAGGCGTCAAGGGGCATATAGCTCGTGCATTGGTCTTTCCACTATGCCCCTCAGGAGCAGGGAGGGACCTTGTCTTATCCATAGCTACGCGCCCACGACTGGATCAGGGCTTGTCTCAGTGGGTGCTCAGGAAGTGTTAGGGACCAAAGGAAGAGTTTGAATGTCAGCAGTGGTCAAGGAAGGCTTTGCAGAGAAGGTGGGACTGGAGCAGTATCCTGGAAGACCTTGAATTTGAAGAAAGAGAACAGGAGAGAGCATGTCAGGTGGCCAAGATGGAAGAGAACAAAATGGCCGAACTGGGAAGGCATAAGGTATGTCTATGAGACAGGAGCCACTTCTGTTTTCCGAGATTGCAGGGCTCAGGGAGGGTACAAGGAAGCTAGACCAGGGCCAGGCAAGGAGGTGGCGAATAGCAGGCAAAGGACTCAGTTTCCAAACTGCCCCTTGGAACACTGGTGTTCCAGGTAAGTTCAAAACGTGAGTATTTCATGGCTTCTTATACCTTCAAGACACTTCATCACAGACAAATTCAAGAACTATTATAATAAACAACAATGTACTAATCATAAAAATTGTCATTTAGGGCAGCACCTGTGGCTCAAAGGAGTAGGGTGTCAGCCCCATATGCCAGAGGTGGCAGGTTCAAACCCAGCCCCCAGCCAAAAACTGCAAAAAAAAAAAAAGCAAAAAACCTGTCATTTATGAAGTGAGTACTGTGTGTTGGGTGCTCTCCTGAATGTTCCACACAGCTTTCCCTCATCTGAGCTTACAGCTCTATAAGGTAGATACAAATATGATGTGTATTTGTACAGGGAGACTGAGGCTGAGAAAGATTAACTTGCCGAGTGCTAGAGATTCTGGAAGGAGGATCTGGGCTTGGCACATACCCAGGGTGTCTACAGCCAAACCCACGCCTTCGGCCACTCATTGCTCCTTGCCCTCCACTCTTTAGGGTGTCTGGGCTGAAGGGCAAGGAGGAGGTCAAAAAGAACAAAGAAGAAAGAGGAGAAACATCCTAGGATTGGGGAACCGTGTTTCCTCCAGACCTCGAAGGGAAAGCATCACGGGCCAAGGAAAGAATGAGACGCAGAAAGCTAGAAGGAGATACAGATCCCGCAGTGGAATTCGGAAAGAATGTTCTTGAAAACTGAGCAGGAAGCCTTTTCTCAGCGAGTGTTATTTCTGCCATATGAATCATTTATACCCAGATAGACTTTGCTGTTTAAGACAGGGTCACACTGGTGCCCTCAAGAAGACAGACATGAGAATATGTTGCTGGGGGCTGCCTGGGCAATGACAAGGGACAGGCTGGAATGACAGGGCAGCCATGTTCCTAGGCAACAGATTACAGGAAACCTGCCCACAGCCTGAGCAGTGCCAGCAGCTGCTCTGGGCCATCACGACTTCCCAAGTAGTTATTATGGCTATGATTGGAAAGGGGTCACAGTCACATGTTTAAGATAAATGTAATTTTTTTTGGCTCAAGTTTATGTTCTGGAATGCTGCAATCTGGGCCAAGCCCAGGCTACAAGCAAGAGGGGCAGCATGGCAAAAGAATAATTTATTGCATCTGCCCAGAACATTACAGTTTGCAAAGCCTTTCACTAGAGTTGGACAACAAGCTATAAAGTGGGTGAGGAAACTGAAGCACAGAGAAGTTAAGTGACTTAAGCAAGACCACACAGCAAGTCAATAGCAGAACTATCCTGTGTCCCTAAGTCTTTGGGTTCCAAGTCAGCTCAGGTTTTTGAGACTCAAATTAACAAGTGTTCTAATAAGAATAAAGAGAGAGAGGACTCCAAGGGGAAAAGGATACTATTTTCGTCTCTCAGTCACTGTGTTTCTGGAATGTATGATAAAACAAATTCCAAACATCTGACACTTTATACCTTGTCAACGTGTTTTCACCTGCATGACTTCTCAAAACGGGCAGGTAGGGAAGTGAGAGCAGGTGAGGCTCCAGGTGCTGAAGATACTTGCCCAGGGTCACAAGGCAGGAAGGAGGAAGGGCTCCTCCTTTGTGCTCCGAGTCCCACCCTGGGCCTGGAAACACTTAGCATACTTGAGCAGTGGGAAGCAGTCACAGGGCTGTGGTTGCATTCGCTAGATGCAATCTGTCCAAACCAGTGGCCATAATGTCTGCCCTCCAGACCCACCCGGTGGCTGCCCATGCAGCCTGTCCACAGCAAGACTTGTAGCAAAACAACCACCCGGGCCCTCCACCCTGCCACTCTGGCCATGCCAGGGATCTGTGGCTTGGCCATGTGTGCTGGGCCCTCGTGATACTCCTGGAGTAGCTGTCACTGTCAAACAGATGTGACCACACTGTCCCCTGGGATGACCCCTAGATGCATCCACGTGGCAACTGTCTCCTTTGCCCTAGCTTTTAGATGGCTCAGGTCAGAACTTGTTTTCTGTGAGCCCATCTCTAAGCTCTGCCCATTACCCCTTCTAATGTTTTAAACCACCTACCTAACAGGTGAGTTGGGCATTTTTCTGGGAACCAAAGGCCTGGGGTCCAAGTGCCTAAGGACAGATCTCTGGATGACAGCAACCCCTCTTGATACTGATTACTGCCTGAATTCCCTTTCAAAGGGTCCTGCCGTCCTGCCTGGAAAACGGTGCTGGTGAGAGCCCAGCTCCTGGGGTAGCCTCTCTGGGTTTGGGGCTGCACCTTGGGACCAGCCTGCTCTTCTACTGTCAAACGGATGCCCGGTCCATGAGAGACACTGGCCCATTCCCTCCCTTTTCACTACTTGCTCCATGAGACCTATTACCCTCCTGCCATAGATGGCGATGGCCCAAGTGATAAGTAAAGTGTGCACATTTGTAATGGAATACGCAACCGTGCAAATAAAACATACCGACAACCCCCATCACCGTGAGCGGACCTTTGGAACATTGCACGTAGTGGAAAAGAATGTTGCAGAAGACGTCAGACTTTAGAACAGCACTTTTATAAAACGCAATAACAGGCAAAACAAAACAGTATATTCTTTAGGGATACATTCATGCATTTAAAAAGTATTTTTTTTAAAGCAGGAAATGATAAACATGAAATTCAGGATAACGGTTACCTCGGGGGTGTGCAGGGAAATGGGCTGGGGAGAAGCACACCCTGGGAGTCTTGGGCTGAGAGGCGGTTTGGGATAACCATTTTGTCATTTTGCCATTTTGCTTCATGGCTTACAAATACATTCCATGTTTTCTTTCATTTATCAGCTGCCACGAAATAACATAAAAATTAGACAGACAGGGTCCCAGAGGTGCCCCTTCTTTTTTTCTCCTCCCCATTCCTAGTGGCGGGAAAGTGTGCACCTACTGGGTGTCTGGACTCTGTCCCCGCCATGCCCACCGTCACAGCCAAATGACCTGTAAGAAAGCTCGACTCCACCCCCATTTCCTTCCCTCCCACACACTGGCTTAGTCCACTACACTCTGAAGACAATTCTCATGGAAGTCTCCAGTGAGTTCCTCATTGATATCCCGGCCGCATTTGGTGTGCTGGCCTCTGCCTGCTTCTTCTCTGAGCCCCTTCCTTGCAATCCGGGTTCCTCCTCTCCTGAAATCCCTTCTATGTCTTAAGACATTGCTTCTTGGCCTCTGTTGCTGGCACCCCTGAGGTCTCAGGCCTCCTCTCACCCTACGGCCACTCATGTCTCATGTCACAGCTGAATGAGTTTTCATCTCTGTCTCCAGCCCAGACCTCTTTCTCCTGGACCCAGACCCAACTATTCAATTGTCCACTCAACCTCTCCACTCAGATGTCACATAGACACTTGAGTCCAACCCCTGCCCTTCTCCTCACAGCCTGGTCCTCTCCCAGGGCCACCCAGGCAAATGCCCAGCCCACCTTCAAGTCAGCCTTGGTTGCTCCCCACCCTCACTGCCACCACATCTCTCCTCCCCCCCAGTCACCAAGTCTAGCCCTTCTGCCTCCTTACACGTGACCTCCATCTCCACCAAGACCTTCCTAATCCAAGCCTGCTTCCTGTCTGGCTCATATGAAGCTGATGTTTCACTAGGAACCTCCCTGCCTCCAACCTTGCCTCTGTCCTTCTCCACTTGCAGACCTTTTGTTCTTTGCAACTTACAGATCCGATGTGCATCTGTCTGCTGCTTAAAGTTCTCCATCGGCCCCTTCCTCCAAGATCCCCATGGCTTGGCCACTACCGTCCTCTCCCACCCCATCGTCACTCATCTCCCTCCGTGCCTCTGCCCTAAACCCACTCTCCAACCATCCTGAACCTCAGTGCCTTAGACACACGTGCTTCCCTCTTACCTCTCAAGCCCAAATGCGTCTCCTCCTGGAGTCCTTTTCCTTCCCAACCTCACCCTGCTTCGTCTAACCCTTACTCCAGGTTCCAGTTTAGCTGCTGTTTCTTCTGGGAAGCCTTTCCACTCCCACCCAGAGAATGTCGGATGGTTCCACAGTCTCAGCACCTGGTCTACTCTAGCCCTTGTAACACTCTTACATTATGTGCCTCTCAAACCAGACTCTATGCACGAGCAGAAGCCTGCCTTGTTGTCTCCCTATAACCTAGAACAATACCTGACTCCTACGAAAGGGGTAAAGTTGTTGAATGAATGAATGAGTGAATCAGTGATGGCACTCTGCTTTACAAATGTTCTCTCATTTAATTCTTACAAGAATCCTTTAAAGAGGTATGGTTAGTCTCATTTTACAGGTGACAGAAAGGAAGTAACTTGCCCCAAATCACAGCTAACAAGTAGAAATCTGAAAGTTGGACCCGGGTTAAATACCAAAGCCACCCGTCCCCTCCTCTGGCCACCTCGCTCCCATTGCCCAGCCCACACAAGGTTAGGGAGCCCTCTCAAGGCCCAGTCAAGGCTGGGAACTGGTGACCGTTACCTGGAAGCACGTGGGGCCCGGCCTCCCGGCGGGGATATCTGACTGATAGAAGACTTTGAGCTCTGGGGTCAGGGCAATGACGGTCTTGATCACCACGGAGATGATGTCGGACCAGACCTTCTTGATGTCAACGCCTTTGGAGGACAACCTACAGAGGATGCTTGAGAAAGTCCTTTTGCTCCCTGTGCTAGCACTGTCTGAATGGATGAAGTTGCCGCTGTGGATGTTCAGTGAGTAGTTGGTTAAGTGCATAAAGACGTGGTGCAGATTTTTGGGGCTGGGCTCCTGATATGGCTCTGTACAAAATCTCGAGAGTCCGTCTTTGGCTATATAAATTTCTAAGGGTTCCAAGGACTTTAGTAAGACGTACAAACGAATATCAAACTTGAGCTTGTCGATAAGGAGAGGTTTGCAGATGTACTCCTGGACCACCGCCGGCCTGCTCTGCAGGGTCCCTGCCAGGCGGATGTCATTGGGGTCCTTAATGAGGTAGATTCCATCACCCTGACAGCCACCATCAGGTTTCACAATAAAAGTGGGCTTCCAGGACGGGTCATCATCTTTCACCATGCGAACCTGGGAGGGGGAAAAGAATGGTTAGCATTACTTGTGTACTCTTTTCCTCTCTGAATCCCCAACACAGAGCAGGGTGTTAGTACATGTTCGGTGACTGAGTGAAAAAATGATCCACGCCTATCAGAATACTCAGTAAACATCTCCCATGAGGACAACACTATACTAGATACAGAGATAGTGACATAAGAATTGTCCTTGGGCTCCCGACCAAGATGGAGAGTGTGGTGGATTGGCAGTCACAAGACCCGGGTTCAAGTCCTGTTTTTCCAGTTATTAGCTGTGTCCTTGAACCATTCACATAACTAATAATAATGTTGGGGATAGTAACGGTGGTGACCAAATATCATTTAGGAGAGCCTGGGATGCACCAGGCACTATTCTAGGCACTTAGATAAGTTACCTCATCTAACTTCACAGAAAATATGGCTTTGCCCTTTTAAGTCAGAAACAGAGAAGGTGTAGCAGTTGTTAAGAGTGGGGTCTGGAGTCAGACTGTGACCTTGGCCGAGTGACGTAAGTTATCTGCACCTTCTTCATCTGGAAATAAGACTAAGATTGTTCTGAGGATCAAATGTGATCCTGCAAATGCCAATGCCGAAGTGGAACCCGACGTGGAAGGACAGCCACAAAGCCCAGCTCTCGCTATTCTCGAACGAAGTAACTTGCCAGATAACCCAGGAGGCAGACTTCGGACTAGCATCTGGATTGATGACTCTAAAGCCCTGAGCCCTCCTCTACGCTACCATGTCTCGGTTTCCTCATTTTAAAAAACGGAATATAAACGCCTACCCTCACTGGGGCATCATAAAGATGAAATCAGCTGAAGTTCACAAAGGGCCGAAAATGATGTTTGTGTACAGATGTTTGTCTTATCATTTACATCCGTTATTTAGTTCAGTCGGTAGACTCGGCCCATCCTTCGGTCTGTTGAGCCCTCTTTGAAACTAGATTGTCATCTACAATATTTGTTCTCCTCCCAGCTCCAGGTCAGGAGGACACTCACATAATTACCAGGGCACTTGACCAGTCCACATGGTCAATCCAGCTATGGCCTCAGACCCTTTGAAACATTTTGGGCAGTCCTGGGTGGATGGACTGCAATGGCAGGAGAGGAGCTTTTCACTAGGAAAGAGGAGCTGGAGGAAATGGAAAGGTGGATTGGAGAGATGGAGCCATCCTCTCTGTGGCTTCTGGCACGAAAGTTCCCTCTGAGCTCTGCAACTGACAGCAGCGTCCGGCAGGCTGAATGGGTGGCGTTCCGCAGCAGGGGACTCACCTGGGCCTTCCACCTTTGCTGTGAAAGCCCAGTCCAGGACATCTGGGTTGAACTTATCTCTTTGACCAGGCTATATTTCTAAGTGAAGCTTCTGCCAATTCCTTGAGCACTATCAGCTATCCCAGGCTTGTAAAAGATCTTTAACAATGGAGAAACACTTAAAGCTTTAATAATGGTCCACATCAATTGTTTCCCCTTGTCAGCAGGATTTGAGAATGGAACTTCACAAGAGATCAATGCACGTCTCCCAGGGCCTTCTATCAGCCTTTCTTGCAACTGTGACCTTGACGTTTATGTTGTTATTTAATATTCATCCAAAGCTTTCATAAACTTGGGCCTTTACAGTAAATATAAGCATGCTGGACAAATGGTAATTATGGATCAGGAAGTGAAAAATGTCAGGTTTGCTCTGATAGGTAATTTTTCTCTCTGGAAAGCTGTTGCTATGCCAGAGATACTAGCAGTTCAATATGTTATCAGGAGCAATATTTTCTTCTTTGAGTTCAGTGTATATCCCTTAAATAAATTAAACCACATGGTCAATAGTCTCTGTCATTCATTGCATTACTGAATATTTCTCCTACTCTTTGCCAAAGTAGAGCTATACAAATCAAGATTATTATTATTATTATTTTTGAGCCAGAGTCTCACTATGTCACCCTCGGTAGAGTACAGTGGCATCATCATAGCTCACAGCAACCTCAAACCCTGGGGCTTAAGTGATTCTCTTGCCTCAGCCTCTCAAGTAGCTCGGACTACAGGCACCGCCGCAATGCCCTACTATTTTTTTGCTGCAGTTGTCATTGTTGTTTAGCAGGCCAGGCTGGGTTTGAATCCACTAACCTCAGTGTATGTGGCCGGTGCTATAACCACTGTGCTACAGGCGCCAAGCCAAATCAAGATTATTAATACTAATAGAATTAGTATTGGTTCAAGGTCATAGCGAATAACTGGCAATAGTATCCATTGGGTTTTTGGAACTGGAAGGATTCTGAAAGCTCAACATCATCCATTCCTTTCATAATTCAGAGAGGAAGGTGGGGCTCAGAGAGGTGATGCAACTTGCCTTGGGTCCTGTAACTGGCTAATGGGATGGTTAGGTCAAGAACTGAGTTCTCCTGGCCTCACTTCAGGTTTGATGTACCAGTTTTACCTCTCAGAAGATAAAATTAAAGGTCTCTTTTTCCTCTCTTTACTATAGGAAAGGTTCTCTTAATGTATTAGACAGTATTGGTGTCTGAGCCCTGGCCACACGGTGTACTTTGGTCCCTAAGTATGGTCAGGGACCTTGATTGGCTAGAACTGCTCCAGTTTCAGATCTTCTGACTGGCCTCCTGGCTTGTCAAAACACAGGTGTGATCTACAGGAAAACTTCATAGCTGTTCAGAATGTGGTTCCCATAGCTATCAAACCCTTCAGCCACCACTACTTAAAGAAGAGAAAAAGATATTTCAGAATTCATATTCACTGTCCTCTTAGGTTTTACTCAAGAGCAACCCTCTCCCCATTATTAAAGTTAAGAACTAATGCACTGGTTCTTAAGAAGTCATTCCCCAGAATGAAAATACGGTCTACGTCTCTGGGCCCCAGCCCCAGAAACTCTCATTTAATTGATCTGGCTTACAACCTGGGCATGCGTGTTCTAGAAAAAGCACCACAAGCGATTCTGATGTGCATTCTGTCCGAGAAGTACTGGACTAATGTGGATTAAATAAAAACACAAACAGAAACCAAGATGTTGAATGAACTTTTATGCTTTTGTGTTAGCTGGAGTGTGAGGAAGACTTGCGCTTAGGCTACAACTGATGGTATCTGTAGTTTTATCCAAACCTGCTGTTGGACGTGAAATCCATTATCTTGTAACTGTAGACATGGATGGCTGAAAAAGATACGGAGGATGCCGTGGCCTGATTGCTTGGCACGCCTCCTGCCTCCTGAAAAATTGATGTGGCTTTTACTGCCCCCTAGTGGATATTTAGGGACCCGCGCCCAGGAAAGTCACCCCATTCAAAATTCCAGCAGTGCTTAGCAGTTAAGACACTCGCATTCAGCCTTAAGAGAGAAGAAAATTCTGACACACGCTACAACATGGATGTGTCTTGAGGACATTGTGCTAAGTTAAATAAGCTAAACACAAAAAGACAATTATCCTATGATTCCATTTACATGAGGTACCTAGAATATCAAATTCATAGAGACAGAAAGTAGAACGGTGTTTTTGGGGGGTGGTAGGAGGTGGGAGGGGAGAGCTGGTGTTTAATTAAGACAGAAGATCAGTTTTGCAAGATAAAAGTCGAGGGGTGGATGGCTGCACAACAATGAATTTACCTAATGCACTGAACACTTAATGTACACACAATGTACCCTTAAAGGTGGTCAATCTGATAAATTTTGTTACGCATGTTTTAATTAAAAATAAAAAAAAACTGTTTGGAAAAGCGATAGCTGTTTGTGAATTAGGGAAAAAGTATTCAAGTAAAAACAGAACATCTGGATTTTTATTCCAATTTGGTGAGGTCATTTCTGACCATGTGACCTTGAGAAAGTCACCTAACTTCCTAGGCCCTGTTGTCCTCACCTATAAACAAAGGGGTCACACTGAGGTCCAGCTGACAAGTGCTGAACAGTGCTTTATCCTGACATCACCACAGCTGATGGCTGCGTTACAAACTCGTGCGTGGCATTAATCACACAGCAGAGTCCCTGCCCTGCTGTTGTGATCAGCATTTGGGATAAACTAACTGTACGAGCAGGAGATTTGGATTGGAGATTTATGATGTACTTGAGGACGTCAGCTAGGCATGGGGGGAAAACAAGCTAAAATATTTGGAGGGAGAAATTCAGCGACTGGAAAACCCAGCTACAAAATGCTATTAGCAATGAGGGCCAAGCGAGAGCACAGTTTCAGAGGAAATACCGCGTCTGCAATACCAGGGAAGTCAAAGCCAGTTAGAGCAGTCCTTTGTCACTCGGTGGATTTGCATTCCATCTGGGCAACTCAGACCCTTGATGTCACAGGCACATGCTGCAGATCTTAAGCACAAAAACATCTCTGCTGAACGAAGTCAATGTCACAAAGCACATGCTGGGACAGGGTGAGGGGACCAGCTCCTGCCAGCACTGGAGGCTGAGCCTGGTACCCAGGCCAGTTCCTGCTCTCAGTGTTCAAGGCAGTTTCTGAGTCCAGCTAGGACTGAAGCCGTCTGCAGGAAGGGTCGCAGGCCAGATGGGAGGGGCAGGAGGGGCTGAGCCAGATGAGGCCAAGAGAGAGGACTTGGGGGGGATGGGCTGCCACAGGGGAGTTGTTGTGAAGGCAGGAGAGAGCAGGAGACATCTGGGGCACTGCAAATAGTTTCTATGACTGGTGAACAGAACAGGAGTGAAGTGGGGGAGTATACGTGGCAATCCCACTAGTGAGATGGGCAGGGGCCGGGTGATTCTGATGACAACCGTAACTGAGCACTTATTAGGGGGCAGATGCTCTTCTAGGTGCCTTGCATGTGTTATCTCATTTAATCCTCACAATCCTATTTTACATGTAAGGGAATGGAGGCCCAGAGATGTTAAGTAACTGGCCAAAGGTTACACAGCCAGTAGGTCATGGAGACAGAATTTGAACCAGACAGTCAGGGTTCCAGGGTCCATGTCAAAAAGGAAGGAAGGATGCACTGAGGAAGGGGAGGATAGATGGCAAGCTTGGTGTGAGGTGGGCGGGGGCGTCACA